TATGCTTAACTTTTTTTTAGAGAATTACAATTCTCAGTTCTGGCTTTCTGCCAGGAAGAAGAAAACAAAAGGAAACAGGATAGGGAGGAGGGTAAGAAACAAATGACATGTCCAGGGCACATTTGAAGATGAGAGATACCATTAAACCAAACTGCCTGGGGTACCAGGTTGAGATTTTTCTTCACAGAAACTGAAGCTATTGGTCCTTTCCAGCCTTAAGAGATAATGTTTGCAAGAATTAAGGAAATGAATGACAGAGAGTGAAACATATTTCAGCATTTAGGTATTTTCTTTCTCCTCTCACTGGACAAAAATATCTTTGCTCCTAAGAAATACTTTATCATACATGTCAATTGGATGAACATCAGGTCATAAACTAAAAACAACTATTGTAGGTCAATCAGCAGAATACTACTGAAATCTTGAATGTATCTTCCAAATATAATTAATAGGAAACACATGTATGCCACTCTTGGCAAAATGTGAGAATCAATCACACCAAAATTAAGAAAAAATTTATTTAAGGAAAAAATATTCCAGCTTCTGAGGACAGACTTTTACAGTTCAACTTAAATTTCTTCCACTAATTATCAGATGTGTTATTTCATGTTAGTGGGTGGGAAAGAAAGTAAACACTTCTTTAAAAGATAAAGAATCAAAATGAGAACCTTCTCTCTCCCCTAAAAAAAATACCTGTGAGAGTAACTATAAAACTTTCAAGTAGTATAAAAAGGTGATCCTTTAATAAGTACCTATGCTGAGTCCTGACATGACAGCCTATAACTAGGACCTTTTAGATTTCATAGTAAAGGAAATTTAGATTCAATATGATTAAAGGAGATTTATATATGGTGTGGTGATCATGTCAGGAACATCAGAGATAATTCTGAAACTAGCAAATAAAAGAATTTCTAACCATGACATTGCATAGCCATGGTAGATAAGAACACTCCTACCACTGAACTTGATTATGCCAGGAAATCAAGAGTTGCCTGGGTCCAAGTACTTGATCCACAGTATTCTAATGCCTACCTCTCACATTGCTTAGGTAATCAATAAGATTTGAGAGATTATAGCACTTTGGGAGGCCGAGGCAGGAGGATTCCTTGAGGACAGGAGTTTGAGACTAGCCTGAGGAACATAGTGAGACCCCATCTCTACAAAAAAAAATAAAAATTAGCTAGATAGGGTAGCATGCTCCTGTAGCACCAGCTACTTGGGAGGTTGAGGCAAGAGGATCACTTGAGCCCAGGAGATTGAGGTTGCAGTGAGCTATGATGACCCCACTGCACTCTAGCCTTGGCAAGAGAACAAGACTCTGTCTCAAAAAAAAAAAAAAATTGAGAGGAAACAGGTAAAATAGCCACCAAAACCACAAAGCCATTAGAAAATAATTCCTTCTTTGGATATTTAGCTTGTTTCTCTCTTGCTACTTCCCATAGACATAATTGAGTCTGGTAACTCACGTTTGAAAATGGAGAATAACCCAAAACCAGTTCAATGTGGCAGACACCAACCAATGACCACAGGGCAATTCAGTCTTGACAAAACAGGAGAAAATATTTATCATTTCTTTATGTTTAATGTGACTCTTAGATCACTTAACAGCTACCAGTACATTAGTATCTGTCAAAGAACATGAAATTCCAGCATATGTTTTTACCTAATGAGCCAGTGCTTTTTCATATAATTTTTATGTTATTTCTTTTTTTGAACATCATTTAGGACAAAATTAAAGTTGATAATTTCAGCGTGTTAATTAAAAAAATGTTATTTTTACAGGACTTATTTTCAGGAAATAAAATTATTTTTTAATATTCTCTTTTGCCACTTACTTTGTATTTGCTACACAGGGGATATGGAAGATATTTGTTGGATTATAATGCTAACCTTACCCCCAAAATACTAATTTTTACCTTCTAAATGATAAATTGCTATATTTTTAAGTCAATTACTTCCTGCATTCCTTCACCACATGTTCCTTTTCTTCCTGTTACTCATACCTTTCTTCCTATGAAATAATCAAAGACTTCATTACATAGGTTCAGAGCCAAGCTGTGTCTTTAAGTGCTTTTGTACATGTAGGCCTTGTTAATCATCATAAGAGATTAGCCTTTAGGTAGCCAGGCAAATCTTTTCTTCTTTAACATCTCCTTTGTGTCTTTTGGGCTCCTGTTTTTCAGATATACAGAGCCTAACATCAGTTTTCCCAACACCTCTGTGTGTGTTTCAGCTTAGTCTAGGTTTGAATGACAGCTGAGAGTGGCTGGAAGCATGACAAAGCACTGCCATATGGAAAGATTTCTGTTTATGTGAATACCTTCTTTGAGTTGAGCTCATTATGGTGCAGCCTGAAGGACAAGAACTTAGCAAGACAGCAACACGACTGCTGTGGAAATTCTTTCATCCTTAACAGGCCAATTTCTGCCCCACTCTCTCCACCCACTCAGACATCTGGGAGAAGTCCATTCCTTACTAACTGAGTGATTTGGGGCAAGTTCCTTCACTGCTCTAAGCCTTCTCATCTTAACAGACGAGAAATCTGTAAAATGAGCATAGTAATAGGGTCAACCTCATCAAGTTTATTTTTAAAAAACTGTTTTGAAATGAATTGAACATTACAGAAAAGTACAAAGAACTCCCGTATCCCCTTTATCCAGGGTTTTAATTGTTAACGTTTTATTTCGTTTGCCCGCACTCTCTCTCTCCCTCCCTCCCTCTCTGTCCCTCTGTCTCTCTGTCACCCATTATCATTAGTCTTTTATGAACTCTTTGACATCCACCTCTGATGTAACGTTAATGTCTCATCACCTCAGAACATGTCAATATATATTTCCCCAAAACAATGATACTCTCCTACATAACCAGTATAAATCCCTCCAAATCAAGAAATCGACACTGATGCAACACTAACATCCAGCACAGACTCCAATTCAAATTAAAGGCTGGGAACACATCTGTAATCTCCAGATTTCCTGTACACCCCACTGTTTTCTACCCATATTCCCTGTAGCTGGGGTTCATGGATCAACCACTTGCAGGCTGAAGCCTCCTTCAGGCAGTGGGGGCCAATTCCATGCCTAAAGAGATAGATAATGAGCAGTCTGAATTCAGTAACTTGAGACTGTCGTGAGTCTGGCTTTCAGCCCAGTTCCATCTAACGTTCTCACATTTATGACCAAGTCCCTTTACTTTATTTTCCTATGCTTGAGGCCCTATCTCTTGGATTGGAGTCAAAGACAACTTTAAATATTTTTGTTTTGTGGTGAAAGCCTTTCAAATAAAATTACATTGAACCACTACATCTATGTACATAGAAACACTTGGGTTGGAAATCTGATTCTTCTATTTCCTCACCATCAGGGATTATTTAACCTATTTGGGTCTCAGTTTCCTCATCTGTAAAATGAAGAACCAGCTGAGGCAGAGCATTGAGGTCACATGGTGGAAATATATGAAAAATAAATTTTTGTTAATGCCCTGATAATTTATCCATTAAGGAAACTAATTCTCAGTAACCAATGGCACAAAATCTGATGTATAAGCAGAATGCAAATTCATTGCATATGGTGTAATAGCCAAGGAGATCCCATCCTGCTTGATCAGCACATTTTATTCCTCATAGGAAACCTACTTGGGAAGCCAAATTATAATAGCTGGTTGCTTTGTAGGCATGGGGCTAGCCTTATCACACTGGCCATTCTGATTTCCTTGCCACGATGCCTAATAGCACTTATATTCTCTGTAAGACTAGAATTTCCAAGTTCTCCAGATGCTTGTTGGGGTTGCTCAAGAAAGCTCTTTCTCCTGGCTTGACAAGTTGTGTTTTTGTTTTTTTTATCTTTGGGCTCTCATTTTCAAGAATTTATGAAGTCTTTTTTCCTGGATTAGTTATTATACTGATTTATTTAATATGAATTATACAGCGGTGACACCTCCCCAGTAACCTTGATGGTGTTTGGGAGTTACTAAATCCCTTTTCAATATTGTAGGGCAACCTTGTTGGTCATAGAGAAGTCAAGACACTTTGAGGGACCACCAGGTAAACCTTTATTTGCTGTCATAGTCAAAGTCATGCAGCATTATGCAAGATAATCATTTTCTTAGAGCTAAACAAAACTATGTATACCTGATTGTGGTAGACAGAGACTAGGGTGGCCCTCATTGTCCCTGCCTCCTGGTATTCATGCCTTTGTGTCATCCCATCCCCTTGAGTGTGAGCAGGACTTGTGATTTGTTTCTAACCAATAGAATACAGCAAAGGTGATGAGATGTATACGATTATGTGTACATATTATGTTATATAAGTTTGTCTCCCATTTTCTGAGAGACTTTCTCCTGTGCTGGCTTTAAAGAAGCCAGCTCACATGGTATTAGCTGGCCAAAGGAGTGGGCCATGTGGTAAGCAATTGAGGGTGACATCTGGCCAAAAGCCAGCAAGTAACTGAGGCCACCAATCCAACAGCCTGCAAGGAAGTGAATGTTGCCAACAACCATAAGAGCTTGGCAGGGGATCCTTCCCTAGCTGAGCCACACATAAGACTACAGCCCTAGATGACACCATGATTACAGCCTGTGAGACTTATAGCAGGGAGGAGATAGTTAAGTCATTCACGGACTCCTCACCCTCAGAAACAGTAAAAAAATCAATGTGTGCTGTTTTAAGCCACTGAGTTTGTGGTAATCTGTTCCACAGCCATAGAAAACTAACAGATCGTTAGTCTTCTCCCTTTTTAATGTAGTATGAGTTTCCCCAAGTCATGATACCCCCATTAGATCTTAAATAAATGTTTCTATAGAAAACTTCTTTTATACATTACCAACTATCCCATAATTCAGTTTATGGGGTGGCGCCCAGGAGTGCTAGAGAGTCAATGTGTGTATTTAAGATTTTAGGAGAGCAGATGGACAAGCAGCGGAAGTGGTCGGAAGCAATGGTGAAGATCGCCGAGGCGGAGGTGGCAGCTACTACCCCGGCAGTGAAGACGGCCCTAGCCCCTAAGCGGCTCAATACTAACAATGCCGACGACCAGCATGGAGACCAGAGGCTGTTGTGGTGGTGGTGGAGGAGTCGTGGGGTCGGCAGGCGGTGGTGAGAACTATAATGACCGTCACAAAACCCCTGTCTCCCCCCTTGTCCATATCAGGGGCCTGATTGATGGTGTGGTGGAAGCTGACCTTGTGGAGGCCTTCCGGGAGTTTGGACCCATCAGCTATGTGGTGGTAATGCCTAAAAACAGACAAACTCTGGTGGAGTTCAATGATATGTGGGGGCTTGTAGCGCCATGAACTACGCAGCCGACACCCAAATCTACATTGCTGGTCACCCAGATTTGGTCAATTACTCTACCAGCCAGAGATCTCTCACCCTGGGGACTCGGATGACTCCTGGAGCATCAATAATGTACTTCTCTTTACCATACTGAATCCTATCTATTCTATTCCCACGGATGTTCTTTACACTACCTGTAATCCCTGTGGCCCTGTCCAGATAATTGTCATTTTCTGAAAGAATGAAGTGCAGACCATGGTAGAATTTGACTGTGTTCAAAGTGCCCAGTGGGCCAAGGCCTCACTCAGTGGGGTTGACATTTATTCTGGCTGTTGCACTCTGAAGATTGAATATGTGAAACCTACATGCTTGAATGTGTTCAAGAATGATCAGGATACTTGGGATTATACAAACCCCAACCTCAGTGGACAAGGGGAGAAAATCACTAGCTCTTCCTGGAGAGACCAGAGCAAGCAGCCTCCACCACATCCCCAGAAACAGCCACAGACTTGAGCTCACTACACCAAGAACACCACACCATGCTCCAAGGAACAGCTACAAGCACAGAGACAGAGGCAGACAGAGACAAAGAGAGAAAGAGATGCAACATGGCAGCAGATACTGCCTTTTTTATAAACATTTTTTAAAAAGTCAAAATTCAAGTAAATTTGAACCTGAGAATGTACACAGAAATAGGAAACACAGAAAACAGAGCTATCCTAGCCAGCCAGCGGTGCTCTTTTCTGAGAATGTTTCATAGACTGAAATAGATTCCATGAGGCTCCAAGACAATAGGATCCTTTCTCTGTTCCTGGCCACATGGGTTTTGGTTTTTTAAGTCCCTTGGTTTGGGGAGGGCCTTCTTTGTTTCTTTTCTGTTTTGATATTTTTATTTTTTCTGCAGTCACCATCTGCCAACATAATCTGCACCAACTGGAGATCAGAAACAAACCAGAAACAAAAACAAAAACGCTTAAACCACAACAAAAAAAAATAAAAATAAAAAAACCAAAACAGAACTAAAACCAGACAGCCAAACAGCTCAGAGGCACACAGTTACCTGCTGGCGGGTAACTGGGCACTCCCAAGGCCAAAAGAAGGAGCACATTCATACCCAGGAGTCACACACACGGAGCACTACACAGCCAGAAGCATGGCACTACAGCACATAATGTGAGGAGGTAAGAACGCGGACTTTACCCACTTCATACACTTTTATTTCCACTTTTCTGGTATCTTCTGAGGAAAGAACATATGGGAGCCATTTTTGATTTAATCAAAATATTGACTTTTAAAACAATTCTTTAAAAAATTGTGGTGGATGTGCACCGTATTTATGACTATAAAACCGTGTGAATCAGGGTAACAGTGTATTTTTGATGGGACACCATCTTTCAGATGCCATCTTTCAGTGATAACTCATTGTTGAATCATTCAATGGTAAGAGAAAATACAGATTTGTTTTTTTGTGACAAAATAAAAGACTCTAGGAAATAATTCAATGACACATTTCTCCCCAATCACAATCTGAGCCCTGCCATTGATTTGCAGACAGCATGCCATGTTGCCATCTTTGCTTCATCCTTCGGTTGGCCATCTTCTAATCTATCCAGGAATTTACACCTTTGCCTCAGCCATAAGACAAAACAAAACAAAACAAAACAAAAAATAACTATATCCACAGCTGATTAATAGTCCCTTCTGAGTTGAATTTTGACAGTTTTTCTTCCAGAGAGCAATCTTTTTCTAGGATCTTCTCTATAAGTGAGTGAATAAGAGTTTAACTAAATAAAGAAGGAAGGGGAAAAGTTACAGGAACAAGTTCATAGTGCAAAATCCCCATGGTGGGAGGGCACATGGTGTCAAATGAAGGCAGAAGTGGTATACGATAAAGTTGAGTAGGTAAGGTGGACCAGATCAGACCATGCGAGGTCGTCATAACACACGTTAAAGATTTAGCTTTTTAACCTATGAGCAATGAGAAGCTGCTGACAGGATTTAGGAGTGTGAGGGAGGTGGCATAATCAAAGAAGCCTTTTGAAAAGATGAGTCTGGCTCAAATTAAGGAGCATGAATACATAGAGAATAGGAGGTAATTGAAGCAATCTAGCGAGAGATTGTGATAGCCTGGATAAGTGTGATAACAATTAAAATGGAGAAGAGATGGAGATAACAAGACAGAGGTTCCTAAAGTTACTGCTATCATTACTTCTTGGATGTTTGTTTCTTAGATATGTCTTGTTTCTTATATATTTCATCTCCCACATCTTGGAAACATTTTCTGATTTAATTTTAATTTGCTGGAAGAATTTCCTCAGTTTCTTCAGAAAGGTTGCATGGTTAGGATACTTTCTGGGCCCTTGCATGTGTGAAAAGGTATCAACATTGCCTTCATAAGTAAATGAGTACATGAATTCTTGGGCTGCTATATTTTTCTCTCAGCGTTTTATAAATGAGATACTCTAACTTCTAATTTTACATAGCAGAAAAGAAATCTGTTTCCCTATGATTATTTGCTTACTTGTACATGCCTCGTTCTTTCTGTCTGGGAGTTTCCAAAATATTTTATCCTGAAATTTTACCAGATATGTCTAGGAGTATATATTTTGTCTCTTTAATCCTATTTGGGGCACACACCCAGTGAACACTTTTTATCTGAAAACTTGATTATTTTTGAAGCTCAGAAAAGTTTTCTTTCTAAAATTTCTTGAATTATTGCTTCCTTTCCTTCATTTACCTTCTCTCCTTCTATAAATTCTATTCTTGCCATGCATAAATCTCTTGGCTTGTTCTATAACATATTTTCTTTTTTAAAAATTCATGATTTCTATTTCTTCACGTTTGTGTCTCTTTATTAGATAGTTTCCATATTTGAACTTTCTTTTTTTTTCTTTTTCTTTTATTTCAGCATATTATGGGGGTACAGATGTTTAGGTTATGTATGTTGCCCTTGGTCCCCCCCCCAAGTCCGTGTTTCAAATATGTCCATCCTTCGGGTGGTGCGCATTGCACTCCTTGTGTATACAAATACCCGTCCCCTCCTCCCTCCTGCCCCCCCTCCCCCCTGCCCAACATCCAATAGATGTTATTCTTATATGTGCATTTATGTGTTGATTAGTTAATACCAATTTGATGGTGAGTACAAATGGATCCCGTTCTTCTGCTCTTGTGGTGCCCTACTTTGGATAATGGGCTTAAGTTTAATCCAGGAAAGTATAAGAGGTGCTAGATCACTGTCGTTTCTTATGATTGAGTAATATTCCATCGTAAACATATACCAAATTTTGATAATCCACTCATGGATTGACGGGCACTTGGGTTGTTTCCACATTCTTGCAATAGTGAATTGTGCTGCCATAAACATTCGGGTGCAGATGTCTTTATCGTAGAATGTTTTGTGCTCTTTTGGGTAGTGGGGATGTAGCTCAGTGGTAGAGCGCATGCTTAGCATATTTGAACTTTTAAATCACCAATCCAATTTTCAGTAGGGTTGATTTCATTTTTTTTCACTTCTCTGCCATCTTTAAATTTAAAACTCATTTTTTCTAAAACTTTATGATGTCTCATAATTTGCTGTATTTTATTTTCCATAATAATTTTCATTACAGATTATTTTTAAGTTTTTTCTAATGTTATAACTCCTTTCCTTTGAAGTGCTAAGGCCTTTTAACTGACCCGTGATTTATTTGTCCATTCATTTCAGCAAGTTTAGGAATCTCAGAACATTTGCTGGTGAGATTGTTGGATACCGTCAGGCTGTGGTGGCTTTGCAGAAGAATGAAGTAAGTAGTGTTTCCTGTTTAACCATTGATGAAACAACTGGATTCATTGGTACTGAGGACTCTATTATTTCAGTCTTCTCAAAGTGTGAGCTTTGAGTGGCTCTCCTTTTTTTTTTGGCCCACTGTAAGGGGATCAAGGGAGCAGTTCATAGCAGCAGTTCCCCTCAACGGTGGTGAGAATCCATGAGATCAGTGGGGTGTCTCAGGGATACAGGAGGGAGCAGGAAGGAAGGGCTCATCTCCACAGTTTTAGGCAATCCCTAGAATCTGTTGGCTACCCTCTCAGAGAGTCTTGGAGCCAGAGCTCCTTACTTTAGGCTACGGCAGAAAGAATGGTCTCTTTTCTCCTGGTAATTGAAATCACACCACAGGGAAGATGCCTCTTCCTCCTATCCTGGTTTCTGCAAGGTCATCTGGGAAGCCTAAAGATCCCAGATGTATGAGATACCCCACAGACTGTTACAATGAAACATGGTCATCTCCACACCACCTTCCCAACCCTCTCACCCCTAAAGATAGACAGGCACACACAAGCACATGGGCACACAAACACACACACACACACACACACACACACACACACACACACGCTTTAATCTACTGGTGATTCACTCCAGTAGAAAATTAGAGGAAGCAAGGAGTAAAAAGCATGTGCTCAGGTTGTCATCTTCCTAGAATCCTTCCTCTGGGTGGTTGTTTTTTTTTTAATTTTTAAAAATTTATTCTTTCATTTATACTAAAATTTCCCTGAAGGTAGGAATGTTAGGTAGTCATGTTTTTATAAGGCAAATCATATAGTGAAAATAGTATGATGCAACTTTAATAGATAGTCCTTAAAAACACTGATGGCATTCTAAACATGATTCATAATTGGTAAGTGTGTGAGTCAAGCAAAAACACAGACCTTGGAACTAACAACTAAAAAATACGGTCACATTAGCACCAGAAATTGATTTTTTTTCTCAAAGCTGTTTGCCAATTTTGTATTGATTAGTTGCTGTCCTTGAAAATCTAGATACTATTGATCTGCATCAAGTACTTTAAGAGTTCTCAAGAAATATTTGTGGATTTTGATGAATTACAAAATAGAATCAGATAATAGTAGACTAGTCTATGCCATTTTTATTATTTACATTTTCCTTTCTTGTTAACTGAATCATCTAGATAATAAAACCTCTATGATTTCCAAAATCGCTTCTAGGCTTTGTGAAGTGATTTTGGATAGTTCTATGATAAATCATCTTAGAAGATGTTTGCCCTGCCTTAAGATCTTGAATGTCCTAGTTCTTTAGCTGATCAATAGAAACACTCTTAAAGATGTATAGTTGAAAGTATAAAGTACTTAAGACCATAATTTTTTTCTGTTGTGAATGTAATTGTCTCTTATTTTAAGCAAAAGCACTTTGAGAAGATAAGAAAATTGAACACTGTCACTCTTTGGATATAGAAATAAGGAGTGAGGATACTCTAAATGAAGTCAGAAGGAAGGAGTGATAGAAATAATGATGAAATGAAGAAAAGAGGTACGTTTGCAAGATTGATTGAATCACCACTATTGTGATAAGCATATAGAATATCACTAAATGCTAAGTAAAGAAAATTACCAAACCACCTAATGAAGCATTCTGTGGAAGAGTCAAAGGACCATA